TGTCCTATCCATGGAGAGGACAGCGCCTACTCCTGGGCTACCTTTTGTTTTCTTTTTACTTTTAACCTTTCTTTTAGGAAACAAAAGCCTTGTAATTAATTCTAGATTTCCCAAATGTTTCCAAAAGAAGACACCCTTCCACCACCAAGAGTCACACCTTCCCTATGATCCACTAGAGATTTCTGATGGGCAACACTAAATTTGGAATAGGGCATTTCTCCCAAAATATCATTTCCTCTTCCTTTTTGCTTTTCTTTTCCATTAGTTATTATTTCCTATGAAATTTTAGTTCAAGAGACTGTAGGTAAAAAGTTGAAATAAAATTCTTTATTCTGTGAATTATGAGTATTGGATCAAGTTTTTTTTTTTTTTTTTCTTTTTTCTTTTGTACTTGGGATTGAACCCAGGGACACTTAACCACTGAGCCTCATCCCCAGCCCTAATTTGTATTTCATTAAGAGACAGGGTCTCACTGAGTTGCTTAGCGCCTCGCTTTTTGCCGAGGCTGGCTTTGAACTCATGATTCTCCTGTCTCAACCTCCCTAGCCACTGGGATTTCAGGCGTGTGCCACCATGCCCGGCCTCAAGATGTTGTTTTATCAGCTTCCCAGTTACCAGGTTATGCACTGTGTGTGAGGCGGCATCTGCCTGAAGAGTAAATTATCCTGTCTTCTGTAGGTGAACAAAACACTGTCAGTCCTACAGAAGATTCTTCTTTTTGACTTGGAATCTATAGCTAAACAGGAAAGCGCCTAAGTCCCTGGAGTCTGCCTTCATTTGCTTATCTTCCATGTCCAAACTATCACTGACTCAGATTCTAAAACAAACTTCAAGTCTTTGTCTTTCTCTCTTGGATTAGCCAAATCTGAATCACAGCTGTCTGTCACCTGGAATGCTTACTGCAAAAGCTTCCTAATCAGTCTCCCAGGTCCCACAATTCATTCATTGCATGCAGCCAAAATGATCATAAATACTCTATCAGGTTACTTCCCTGTCCTGTCTGACACTTTGTAACTTGTCCTTTTGTCAGGAATATTCCTTCTTTGTTGATTTTTGTGAAGGCTAGCCTCTATTTATCATTCAGGTTCAGTCTAAATGTTCCCTCAGAGAACCCTTTTCAAGGAAAAGTTACCCTAATCACATTTCTGTGTGTTGTTTCTATGGTAGCTCTTATCCACTTTTACATTTGTGTGTGTGTGTGTGTGTGTGTGTGTGTGTGTGTTTGCACGCACATGTGTATAGTATACATATATGTAAAAGTATATATGAGCGTGATAATGTGTATTTGGGTGGATGCCTATTTGTATGAGGTGTATGCATATTCATGTGGCATTTTCTAGGAGTAGTAGGCTGTGTGAGATCAGGAATATTTCTGATTTGTTCATCCTCCTATTCCCCAGAGCCAGACCCATGTTTGGCAAATCATATGTATTCAGTAAACATTTTGAGCTAATGAATGAAAATCTGGCGGTAGAGGTAGAAATAAGGCTGCTGGCTCTGTGGTGGACAGTATGCCATGCTTTTTGTTGGGAGCCAAGAGAAGCAGAGAAGGTGTCTTGTCCCATAGTCAAACGTCACTTTGAAAGTGGAATCCAGAAAAGTAGGAATAGAAATCATTTAATTGTAGCATTTGATGCATTCATTGTTCAAGTGTAGCATTTGATACATTCAATTGTAGCATTTGATACATTCATTTTTGGAAGTGTTCATTTCTCTTGTGTAGGAGGGAAGTGAGGAGTGGAGGTCCCCTCCATATTGGATTCAGAATGTCAGCAGGCAGGTTGTATCTGTCTCTGGGTCTGGGGTACAGGGAAGGCAGTGGCAATAGGTATCGATGAGAGGACTGTAAAGGTGAGAAAACAAATAACACTGGGCCTTGTTCTGCTTTTTATTTTTTAAAAGTAATCCTCAGGGCTGGGGTTGTGGCTTAGCAGTAGAGCGCTTGCCTAGCACTTGCGAGTCCCTGGGTTCAATCCTCAGCACCACATAAAAATAGATAAACAAAATAAAGATATTGTGTCTAACTACAACTAAATAATAAATATTTTAAAAAGTAATCTTCATAACAGGAGATTTGAACACATTAACCCAGGAGACAGGACTCCCTGATCAAAACCTAAGAACCAGATATAACAGGGTCAGGGGGAAGAGAGGGAGAAACTGGCAGAATGACACTAACTCTTAGTCTAAATTTTTGAGGTGTCTTCTGAAAGCTTGTAGGAATTGTATGTAGTTGTGCTAAGGAAACATGTCAGTTGAAGAATATAAAATTAAATAAATGAATTGTAGACAAAAACCAAACAGAAGAGCAAGGGCTCCATTGGAAAAGAGAATGCAGGAGAAGATTAGCTGGCATTTCATGTCCATTCGAGGTAGGAGGGTAGCAGCAATCATCAACTTGTTGATCATTTCTGATTTTTCTGGGAAAAATTAACTTTCACTAAATCTTTTTTCCCTTCTTCTTCTCTATCCCTATACCTTGTGGCTTACCTAGAGTGGTGGAGAGACAGCAAGAGAGTAGGGATGAGGGACTGAGCTATTTGATATCACTTAACATCAATTGTGTGGAATATTCTTCTTTGGTTGTGGTTGGCTTGTTTCTTCATGGCATGGTGACAGCACAGAAATAGGTAATCCCAGAATCACTTTCATTCATTGAGTTATTTTGCATAAGAACTTGAGTAGAAAAGTTTGCCTTTATATTAATTTCAAAGATAGCTCAAAAAGTTAGACTGTCTGTCACTCTGCCAGTTTCTCCCCCTCTTCCTCCTGACCCTGCTATATCTGGTTCTTAGGCTTTGATCAGAGAGTCCTGCCTCCTGGGTTAATGTGTTCACAGGCTTGATACCTCATTGTCTCTTTTTTGGGAACCCAAATTGCCTTATTATGTCTTGCCCTATTTTCTAATCACTTCTCCCCTTTTCTGAACATGGAATAATTTCTTATTGCCAAATTTTATGGTTACTTTTCCCAGTTAGACTCCCTCACCCCCTTTTTTAAACCATCTGATTTTGAAACTCACAAATCATTGCATGGTTCAGGTCCCATCGTAAATGAATAAGATGAGATTAATACTAGAATGAAAAAAATGCCATATTTCCTAATCCTTAGAGGGATCTGAAAATGGTAGACACGTGGGACATAGACATCACATCTCTTGTGGTTTCCTGTTGCAGAGATAGATAATATGTGGTGGTGAATTGATAACACATTTTTAGAGTGGTATGGATCCATTTGTCTAAAAAAGACCTTAAATTTTTGTAAATGGAATTTTGTAGGCAAAAAGTTTAACAAGGTTTGAATTGTTGGGGGGGGGCGTGGCGCGTTTCTTCACTCCTAAAACGCAAGCTGATTGTTCCTTACTGATTGCAAACTAATTCCTATATGTGACTTTCATTGTGAGGCCACAGCATTGCTTGTCCCTCAGGATCAAACCTCATGCAAGATTTCATGCAGCTTCAAGAATATGCTGCCCAGTTTGTGTATTTACTTCTTTTTCTTATGCTAACCCAAAGGTAGTCTGTACTCAACAGGAGTGTTTCACTCTTTTCTTAAACTCATCTTATGAGTACCTCTGTTTTGTCTGAAATGTTTCAATTTTTCTCCTCCTCTGGAGCCTCATTTAAATGACACTTCCTATGTTGTATTTTTCTTACCCTTCTCTCTCCACCTTCCTGTGATCCTCTGCTCTTTGAGTCCCCACTGATACGTTATTTGGGTGCTCTGCCTCTTTTCCTGAATTACAAGGCCCTTCATACAAGAACAGTGTGTTATTTGTCTTTTTCTCACCGATTTAGCATTTTAAAAAATGCTATCCCTCATAAGCAACAAACAAAACATTTTAAATTGAATTGACTATAAAATATTTAGGAAGCAAGTGTCATTTTAACTAAGCTGAAGTTAAGGTGATGTTTTGTGGTGGAGGGGTCAAAGGTCTGTGACTTCTGGCCTTTCTTCCTTTTCCCTCAGGATCCTTTAGCTAGAGTTTAATGCTGCTACAGAATCACAGGCCAGAGAGGGTCCTTTAAGGGATCACTGACTGCTTCTTTCTTTGGGAAAGATCATAAACAAATGGTCTTATACATATGAGCATTTCCACAGTGTTTCCAGCAACCCTCTAGAGAAGGGGATGTTATAGCTTTTCTTAATGTATTGTCAGGGTGACTCTTGCTGTCAAAAACTTTACTGTAACTAAATACTCAATCTTTTAACAACAATTTTATGATTTCCTTTTCTTTTATAAACATTAGCTGGAGATGCCCTTAGTTTTGGACCTCACTTTGTACCTTCGTGATGCTGTGGAGTGGTGCTTCTCACTTAGATCTTTTCTGCAGCCACGTGTGATTTTTCTCAGTACCATCAGGTTTTTTGTTTTATTAGTTGTTCAAAACATTACATAGCTCTTGACATATCATTTTTCATACATTTGATTCAAGTGGGTTATGAACTCCCATTTTTACCCCGTATACAGATTGCAGATCCTACAATCTGTATACCATCAGGTTTTGATGATAAACCTGTAGGCGTTCCCTGTGATTTTTCAGATGAAAATACTTCTAGTACCTGGTAATCACAACTTTTGAAAAAAGGTAATTCAATTTGTTAAACATGCAAACAGATGAAGGGAATTTGTGTGTTTGTGTTTCTTAGTGTTATGTAAGTTGCTTCTTTTATCTTTGGCTAGTTAATACTCATCTATTTCTGATTTTGGAATTCACTGTCAGATTATTTATTTAGTTTAGCTCTTATTTTATTACCAGAGAAAATGTTATGTTTATTGCTACAAGTAGCCTTTTTTTTCTTTTAAAATGGCCACACTCTCATTTTAAAAATGTATATTTGATCATCACACTGGTGTTATTTTTTTCGACTCCGAAGAAAGGAACTTTTAAATAAATTAGTTATTGTCTTCTGCGTTATTGAACATGTGGTCAGTTGTCATGTTCATACATCCAGATGATCAAAGTCTGAACTTCTGTCCAATTCCTCCCTGCGGCTAGGCTACCCGGTCATGATCAAGGCCTCAGCAGGCGGTGGCGGGAAAGGCATGCGCGTCGCTTGGAATGATGAGGAGACCAGGTGAGCCTCTGTCCAAAATGTACTCTTGATGAAAATTGCAGTTGCCAGAGTTTTATTAAGCTGGCAAGTAAACAGATACTAACAGCATAATAGAGTAATTACAGTAACCACTTATTGAATGGGGAAAAATAGAAATTATGGAGAAGTCTTCATTTTTTATATTTTGAGATGAATATCCTATTATGGAGAGGCTTTTATAAGGGTATTCAAAAACATTAACAAAGGACTTTTTGTTTTTACAGTATATTTTTAAACAATTATAGTTATTCTGTTTTTTAGGCAGAAGTTACTAACATTTGACTCTCTAATTTGGAAGGTAATCTGAAAATTTGAACCAAATATATTTAAGAGTAGACATAATTTCATTGAATGTTTATGTCAGGGCCGTGAGTATAGCTCAGTGGTAGAGTGCTTGCTCAGCATGCACAAGAACCCTGCGTTCCATACCCAGTACTGCAAAACCAAAACGAAACAAAACAAAAAAACAAAAAACCCCCACGAAAACACAACAATGATAAAAAGAATTTATGTCTTACCTCATTATGTACTTGTTTTACTTTGCTAGTCCATAAAAGTAGTGAACTATTTTGATATTTTATAGTGTGAAACATTCTTTTCTGAGTTTGAAATTGCTGCATGTCTTTTATATACAATGCACTTTGTTGTAAATTTAGGTAACTTTTTTTTTACTAGTTTCAGAAATCAAAAGTAACTTCCAAGAGACAAAATTTTAAAAATCAAACATATTGGTGACATTATAGTGATTAGAAAGGAGTAGTTCAAGAAACTGCCTAGTAGAAGCAGGTTTAAGGACCTCTGTTCATATTTATTTTCTTTATTTTCAGAATTGACAGCAGGAGAGTTGTTATTTTGGGAGATGATGCAATGAGAAATCACAATTTTTTTTTTTTATTATTGTTATGTTGTCTTTCCTGCCTTTTCTCCACCCAGAAGTCATCTGGCCTTTCAGATGCTTGATTCTGCTATTTCCTCCTTTGCTCATTTCTTTCCTCATTCACTTCCCTCATAAAGCTCCTAAAGACAGGAATTTGGATTTATTAGTGTGAAAGTCATCCAGTACAGTGGGACCAAACCTTACTAAAAACAGGAGGTTCTGAAGAGAGCAATTACCTTGAAAATCTCCTGGCTACTCTGCATTCTCCTTTAAGGCCTTGTGGGAAGGCACTGTGTTTGGGACTTATGGAGTGTCAGCTCTACAGGACAACTGACTCACAATACCACTGTTTCTTTGGTTGACACCAGGGATGTGCTTGGCTTGTTTTGTGAGGATGACAGTCTGTAAATTCCAACCTCACTCTCACAGTGGCTCTGCACCAGGAAATGACCAAGATCACAGAGATGCTCCTCTTCCCTCTTCTGCTAACACAACAAGAAGAAATGCAATATTTGCTGAGAGCCTGCTGTTGACAGGTGCTGTTTTAGTAAGGCTTCAGGGACATAGCAATGAATAAAATTCCTTCACATATTTTATGTACTAGATCAGGGGTTCTTAACTTGGTAAGGGGAGGTTCATGAATGTGGATGAATGAAAACCACAGATTTCTCTTACCAGCCTCTGCCTGGGATGCATGTTTCCTCCTGGGAACAACAGCCAGGGGAATAGTAGTATCTGTAGAAGTTTTTACTGCTAGAAAGTCATATGTGTTATCTCATTATGTTTTTGCAGATGAGTTACGCTGATCATTAGACCCATCGTTGGTGCTCATTATTTAACAAGGAACTACTTGTATTATATTTAAATGTGTAAAAATTTTCAATATCTGTATTTCAATATTATTTTGTTTCCTCTGCAATCCTATGTATTTTTAATTTTTAAATTATTAATTGATATTATTTTTGCTGTTATTTGCAGTGCTGGGGATAGAACCCAGGGCCTTGCTCATGCTATAAGCTGTTATAATTATTACTTTTTTTGTTTGTTTGTTTTAAAGAGCAGGGTCTCGCTGTTTTGCCCAGTCTGGCCCTGCACTTCTGGGCCTAGGTCATCTTACTGAGTACCCGGGACAACAGGTCTGTCCTATCATGCCTGGTGACCCCATGTGTTTTATAACAGTTTAAGCCTTATTTTGACAAAATGTTTCTGTGCTGTATCATCTTGTGAAAGGGATCCATGGCATAAACAAGGTTGGGAAATTCTGCAGGTGGTAGTAGGAGTCAAACAAAAATCACTGTGGAAGGTGAGAATAGCATAAGAAACATAAAAATGGGCGGAGACTTGAGGAGTCCTGGAGGGAATTCCCCTCAGACCACCCCTAAGGCCTGTCCTTGAGGAGCCAGCGCTGGAGCCAGGAGGTGAGGATCCAGGCGAGGGAACGGCAGCCGTCCTCTTGCAGGAGAACCAAGACCTGGTGGCAAGGGAGGGAAGGCAGAAGGGGGCAGCTCAGAGTGCCTTTGTGGGGTCAGGGAGATCTGCTGGCTCTCAGTTAGGTGCGAAGCTGCTGGAGTGATCTGAGTAGAAAAGACCATCATGGAACTTCAAATTCCCGATATTTGAAAAAGTATAGAGAAGAATTCAGTGAACTTCTGTGTGTATTATCAGATTAACCAGCTGTGGAGGTTTTGTGACTGAGGTCTTACTAGGGCCACTCTGGTTGCTATTTGGTGGTGGACTTGAGGGGGACAGAATCATGATCTTGAAATCAGAGAAACCAGTGAGGAGGCTGCTGTGATCATCTGCAAGAAAAATGGTGTGATGGGTGGCGGTGTCAAAAAAGAGTGTGATTTTGAAGGCAGAGACAGGAGTGCTGAGGGACTGACACAGAGTGAGAGTGCTCATGGATGGCGCGTGGACTCTCCCCTGGCTTTTTAGGTGTGTTCTTACTTTCTCTTTGTCTTAGTGTTGAATTTATATGAATTGAATGTATGTGACACAACTTTGTTTCACTTGAAAATTTCTTGGGACATGCTGAGAGATGAAGGTCCAAGTGAGGGCTTCTGTCTTCCAAGTTGAAGAATCTGCATTGCTCTGGTTTTTAGGCTCTCTCTGGAACTCTCTCGGCCTGGCTTAGCACCTTTACATAGAGCATGAATTAACTATGGGTGTGTGGAGTTGGGCTGACTGGATATTGTGTGGGGACAGAAGCACGCAGAAGCAGGGAGGCTGCTTAGTCCCATTTGACCTCACAGTCCATCCTATTTGACATTTATCTATCAAAGTTCAGGTTTAATGTCTCAAAGATTTTTTTCCTGTTTGTTGTTCACAATTTTAAATAGAACCCTTTGAACCACAGGACCCTTCCATGGGTGGCTTGATCTTCCTCACAGTCTGGTGGTTTGGGACTTCTACAAGGTGACCCGGAGTTACAAGATCAGTTGTTTCAAATCCAGATGGAAGCTGTATTACCTTTTTTTTTTAGTAGAGTGTATTTTTTCATATTATATATGACCCATTCTTAGAAATCACCCTGTTTCTCCTCCACCACCTTCTAGTGATTGCCAGGGAGTACTAGGTTCTGACCAAATCCAATGTGACTCCACTTCTTCACCTGGAGTGGCGGGATTCTAGAACAGCACCTGGATGGGAGACACTGTCATTGTCATCCTTGGGAAGACCGTTGCTACATACAGCCTCTTCATAAGAAAGAATGGCATAAGAAAGATGCTGGAAACCATTTACAGGTTTTGTGAGAGGTGTATACTTAGTGAACATTACTTTTTTTCCTCATTGTTTTCCTCTTTTGCGTGATATTATATAGCAATTTCGCTGAAAGCCCAACACTTATTTTTTATTAATCCTCTTTAGTTCTCAGATTTCTTTTTTTAAAAATATTTATTTATTTATGTATCTTTAGTTTTTAGGTGGATACAATAGTTTGTTTTTATGTGGTGGCGAGGATCGAACCCAGTGCCTCATGCATGCTAGGCGAGCACTCTACAGCTGGGCCACCACCCCAGCCCCTAGTTCTCAGATTTCTTATCAGACCTGCTCCAGGCTATTGTAGGGAACAGGCTGTTTTATGGGAGGGATTGCTCTTCCCAGTTTCCTGCCAGTGGGACTTGTTGTGCTGTTGTTGATCCTGAATTTTAACTTAGAATTTAGTGTTTTCACAAAAGAAGTTATTATAGCCATTCATATGGCATCTTTTATTAAATAATTTAACCCTTACTTGGCAAGTAAATGGCACATTGATTCAAATTATATTTATATAGTTTGTAAATATAGACCATTTTCTACTGAAAAATATGACTCTGTGCAACTTGGTAAACAAGCCATCTCTTTTGTTTAGATCAACAAAAGTGTAGCTCTGTTGGCTTTAATAATACATTATATGCTCTTTGCTTTTAAAAGTTGCTCTATGTCCTTTGTTCATTTGAAAACCCCCAAATTCCAAATAAATGAAAGGTCTAATGAATACCCAGGTATTTAACTTCTGTAATAACTCATTGTGGATATTATGCCACAACTAATCCGTTCTTTCTTTTCCTCTCTCCCACTCCTGAAGAACTTTCTTTGTGTGTAAGCCACAACATTTTAGTATTCTTTGGAAGCAGTATAAAATTTAGTGACCATTATTTGTTTTTATATTTTATCCTAAGAGGTGTCTATGACTTGTTGTAGAATCGTTAGAACATTGGAAAGATTTTTATAAAAATGTTTGATATTATACAATAAATTGGGAAGAGAATAATGAAGGTGTTGAACACAGACTTAGATATTTTCATAATTATCTCTGGCTTTCTTTTCCCTATCCAAATTTAATTGAGATGTATGACATGAATAGAAGTGATTGTCCCACCCATTTGAATGTCCCCACTAGACTTTAGGTTCTTTGAAGGTGCTTTCTGTTTTATTTTTGTCACCCCAGGACCTACTTAGTTTGGTGATTAGTAGTTACTTATTGGGAGAATGTTATGATTGAATACCACAAAAATTTTTTGTTTTTGTTTTTTTTGCTGGGATCAAACCTAGGTCCTTGTGCATGGTAAGCATGTGTTCTACTGCTGAGCTACACCTCTAGCCCCAAAGATATTCTTAATACAAATTTTCTTCAGTTTGAAATTGAAATTTATCTGTGATACTTTCAAACTTGATACTGACCTTGGTGACTTTGATTTTTTTACTCTTGGAATTCTTGGTTTAAAAGCAAAATGAAACTTCTCAATCATTATAGCAGAGACAAATTGCAAAGCTCTGTGTTTTCTCTTTGTGAATTATAATATCCCATCTAATAAAAGTTGGTTATGTGGTATTAAAAACAATGATTCATTGTACTTCTGGTTTCTTTGAAGTTTGCAGTCTCCTGAGATCTGAACTTCATATCCCTAAATCAAAGATGTAATCGAAGACTAAGAAAACTCAATGCCTTTTATCTGAGAGCAGAGAGTTTTGCCACATTTGGAAATTTGTCTTTTAGTCATTATTTACCTTCAATGTTATATGTTTCAAGCACAAAAATAAACACATCAGGTAGTTATTTTTAATATCACCAGATGGACTGTTTGGAAATTAAAGGATTAAAAGAACTTGGTTTTAATGTTTTATGTTAAATACAAATGTTTAACTATTTATTAAAAGTAAAAGGAATTAAGTTTTATATTCTGAATATATCAGTGAGCATACAATACAATTCTCAGTCAGTTTTAGTAAGTTTGTTTTTAATGGACTGGTCAAATATGCCAATTTTATATGCATTTTAGGAAGCATATTTTAATAATAATGACTTAAATTATTTTAGTTTGGGGTCAACATAGAGGAAAATAATTAAATTCATGTTATTTTCACAAATTCTTTTTCTTTTAATTATTGATTTTCAACAATTTAAAAAATAAAAGGGCCTGTGTGGTGGGTAGGAGATAATGGAGAGCATTGTATGTATTTAGAATATGAGGAAGTGCTCTTGAGAATCTTCATACTGCATGTCTGGTCTCCTGGGTACGTTTGCGGTGGTTCTGGGGTACCCTTTCTTGTTCTGTTTGCATTTTCTATCTTCTGAGACGAGTGGATGTACATTTTAATTGGGGGGCGGTGGTGAGTGCAGTGAAGATAGATTAAGGTTGAAGAAATGAGATTAACTTTAAATGCTTGGTTTAGTTGATTAAAATCTCTTACGTAACATTTGGTGAAATAAGTCCTGGTGTCAATAGAAAGTTTATGATCAGTTAAGTTAAATAACCCACTGAAGATCATAGAGCTTGTAATTGGAGGGGGTATAGCTCAAACAGAGTTAATTTAATTATCTGTATATTGATTAAGTTTTTTTCTGCTTTGTTCTGAAATATGCCAAAATAAATACTTAATTCTTTTTGTTTTCTTTATAATGAAGGTTGTATTTGTTTTGTTAGTCTGATTACTCTTCTGTTTTTTTTTTTTTTAAACAGGGAGGGGTTTAGATTTTCATCTCAAGAAGCTGCTTCTAGCTTTGGTGATGATCGACTACTAATAGAAAAATTTATTGATAACCCTCGTCATATAGAAATCCAGGTTGGTGCATTTTAAGGTGCTTTCTAATTATGTCTTTTAAACAGTATCATTTGAAGTTATTGGAAACATATCCCTTCTTCCATTTAGAATGATTGTGAGTTGTTTCGGTACTTTTGAATAAGTCCAAAATAAACTGGCCACCTGTTTTTGGAATCTTGGATAATTCTGGTCAAAGTGCTAGGATGTTGGTTGGGATGGAAGCAATATAGAACCCACCTCCCAAAAGAAACAGTACTAAGATCTCTACCAGGCTGAATATATTCCACCTGCAGAATCATTCAGTCCCCTTCCAAGATTGGGCCATCTTGGACCATTTTTAAAAGGAAAGGGGTCCTGATCTGTACTTTGTATCATTTTAGTTCACCAAATATCTGTGATTCACTGTGGCAGGAGTTCTGGTGGGAGCTGCTTGCACGACGATGAGCAAATCACGTCTTCTGTTTGGATTAAGATTCAATCCAGTTGTTAAAGTTGTGGGTGTGGATGTCAGCAAAAAGAACACATAGAAGACAGGAACTCTGCTGAAGTTTTCATTAGTCAGAAAAGCCTTCATGCTAAGTTTACACATTATGACTAAGAATTGGCAGGTCACACTTAAATTGATAAAATATGAATATTAAATTAGAAACCACTGAATTTAAAACTCAGTGATCACTTTACATAGATACTATTTATGGGCAGAAAATCTTATAAGTCTTCAAATTTTCTAGAGTAGAAAAAATGTGGAAGCATATCATCAGTGGTAGTTCTGAAACATGGAGCTCAGCTGTTTCTTTCCCAGGCTAGCCAGATCTGTTTTTGTTGGGTTTTGGTTTTAGATTTTCTTAATTGAGATATCATATGTATATAGCGAAGTCCATAAATCCTAACTGTACAACTCAATAAAATTTTTATATAGTATAAATATATAACCAACAAGATCTAGATATGAAAATTTCTATTAAATCAAAAGATTCAAAAATTTAAAAAAAAATTAAAAAAATAAAAAGAAGGAAACAGACAAAAAAAAAAAAATTCTTTCACACCACTTCCCAGTTGGTCCCTCTCCTTGGCTAGTGCACGGATCTGACTGCTGTTTTGACAGCTAGCATCATAGATTAGGGGGTTTCTTTCTTTCTTTTTTTCCTTCTGTGCTGAGGGTCAAGTGCAGAGCCTTGCCATGCTTGGCAAGCACTCTACCTCTAAGCCCCACAGGTAACTTCAGGCATCACTGAGGATGCAGGGATAGAGCTGAGTGATAAAGCCCATGCTTAGCATACCTGAGGCCCCGGCTTCCCTCTCCACCACCACAAAAACAAGCTTCTTCTGAATGGAATCATACAATTTATAATTGTTTGTTCCTTTTTTTTCCCATTTGATGTCATATTTTTGAGATCTATGTCTTTTGGTTATTTTTTGTTGAGTAAAAAACTACCTCAGAATGCAGTGAAATAAATTCATTGTGCTGGAATACCACTTGTTACTCAGGCTTTAGATACCTGAGTTTGCTGATCGACCATGAGGCTCTTGAGGGCACAGACTAGGTCTTAGTTCTTTGGTCTTCCCAGCAACCACATTGATGGCACTCAAATAAATGTTTGTTGGTCTGTGTTAACTAATTAAGTAACTGCTTCAGCCTTTTAGCTTATTTTATTGTATTTTAATTAGCCATTGCCCATAATCTGCAAGATATTTTTAAACATAGGTGAAAATGTCTCCCAGTAGCTTAAATGGGCAACACAGATTCCCATATCTGATCTCTACTCAGAAGTTTTTTTTTTTTAAATATATTTTTAGTAGTTGATGTACACAACACCTTTATTTATTTATTTTTATGTGATGCAGAGGATCAAACTCAGTGCATCACAAATGCTAGGCAAGTGCTCTACACTGAGCAATAACCCCCATCCATACTTGGAAGGTTTTTGAATAATTGTTTTTATGTCGTTTTCATCTAATTATTTATATTAGATAGCTTGTGCACATGATAAAGGGTATTCAGCAAAAGCAAGTCTCTCTTTCCATTTCCAGACCCCCTGGTTTCTGTTCCTATGTGCATGCACTACTGTTATTTCTTGAACGTCCACCCACATCCAGACTGTGACATATATGCGTGTGTATTGCCTGTTGTTCTTTACATGAACAACAGTGCATCTTCTGCAATACTGAAGCTGTGCCCTGGCATGCAAATGTCACCTCTGTGTTTTTACATTATGTCCAGTGATTTCTGAAGGAGGGAAAGAGGCATTCCCCAGGCCCAGCTCAGGGTACCGAATGGCTTGGGTTACTGGGAGCTCTCTGTTATCATGCAGCTTTTTATCAGGAAATAGAGTAGCTTAGAGATTTTTCCACAATCAATGCATGTGTATCTATAAAGGGCTATATTTAAAGTTAAAACAGCTCAGAGTACCTGTAAGGATTAACTTCTCTTATAAGCACTTTTCATTTAATTGTTTCCCAAAAAATCATCTTCAAATCATTTTTGTTCAATGGTTGGTAAATACCCAAAACTTTAAAAAGTGAACTGAAGACTATAAATGAATCTAATATTTTGCAGTTGGAAATATTCCTGAGAACTATTGGTTATTTTGGATTGCTTTATTTTTTAAGCCTACTTTCACTTCCTTGTCAACTAGAATAAAAAAGGACATTTAGAGTTATTTTAATGATTTAAAATATTTTTAGCTCTACCTCTGAGTCTTAGAAATAAAATGCCAAGTTCTTGGCATTTTATTATTGTAATGTTTTCTTTCATTACTTGGAATGATTATTGAGTCTTAAATAGACTTTATTCCTAAAAATTAATGTTGCAGTCATATAGTAGCTATTCATTTTATAGCTTACTATACCTGTTACAACTGTAATATTTTTTAATTTGATATTTCAGAAGCCGTATAAAATATTAAGATGATATTATCTATGGTTTATAATTTATGAAGAAACAAAATAACTTGCCCCAGGAGGTCTGATAATTGAAATAAAATTAATGCCTCTGTGAACCTAAAACATACATTCAGGAATGTACAAATGGTTGTCCAGACGATTCCACTTTTACCTCACAACCCCAGCTTATTTCCAAATATTACAAATGTGAAAAGTCGTAATCTTTTCACCAGTTTCATATAATAAAAACAAATCACAGTAAAGATATCTACATATAATATTGCATGCAAATGCACAAAGTATCACTTCCTGATGAACAAACGTTGAATAAGGTGAACAACAAACAGATATCTGTGGTGGCTCTCCTAAGCACCATAGGCAACCAAAGTGTGTGACCCTTCCATCGACACTCGGGTCCTTCACAGGGCACAGTGGATTCTAATGCTTTTTATATCTTATGTGAAATGTAACATGAGATTCTTTTCCTTAAAAAAAAAAGAAAAATACACACACACACACACACACACACACACACACACTATGATTACAGGAGTGCGTCACCATGCCTGGCATCCTTAAATATTTTTGGTAAAAATGTTTCATTGAATTTTGTTGAAATATAAAGGTTTTCTTTATAACTCTCTATAAAGAGTGCTTCAAGAGGCATGTATGTTAAAAATCAGTGGTGGGGAAGATGTTAGCTGGACTCATTATCCATGGGTGTGGCTGTGTGTTTTCAAATGATGATGACGCTCTTTTTTTTTTGGTATCAGGGATTGAACCCAGGGGCACTTAACCACTGAACCACATCCCCAGCCCTATTTTATATTTTATTTAGAGACAGGGTCCCACTGAGTTGCTTAGTGCCTCACTTTTGCTGAGGCTGGCTTTGAACTTGAGATCCTCCCACCTCAGCCTCCCGATCTGCTAGTATTACTGGCAAGCACCACTGCGCCCAGCTACAAGTGATGCTTTTTGTTCAGGTTTTAGGTGATAAACATGGAAATGCTTTGTGGCTTAATGAAAGAGAGTGCTCAGTTCAGAGAAGAAACCAGAAGGTGGTGGAGGAAGCACCAAGGTAAGAGTCTCTCCCCATGAACCTGCTTCCATGTATCTTCCAGATTTCTTCTCCATTTTACTAGCCCAAATTGCTTTAATGTTAGCATAGACTCTAATAATGCCTATTTTTATAACTCAAAATTTGTTACTTCTTCAGTACCATATTGAAAAAAAGTGAGGAATATTTGAAGAAGAAGTGTTTTTATAAGAAGAGAAATTTGGGTAGATAATCAGCTTTGACTTCAGCTGACTTTAGGTAGTGCAGAACCTGCTGGTATTTCATGGAATTTCAAGGGTATTGTTAATGGCTTTATACGTGGATCCTCGGTTTTTTCCTACAATGGAAGGACTTGTGGGGCTTAGTTCTTGATTTATCAGAGCCACTTTGGGTAAACTCTAGGCTACCTTTCATGTGTTTTATGTGGTGGTTTCCTGAAGCCTTATTTCTAAGTTGATGTTAGGTTGGTTGATGCATATGTTCTGATATTTCTTCTTAAAAATTTCCAATTGAATGTACATAGATATTTTTTCTTTAATTACCAGGCACCAAAAAAAAAAAAAAAATCCTACTTTAGCTTTAATTAGCATAGCCAGCATACCTTGATACAACGTAAGGTTTCTGAGAAGAGTGAATGTGAATGAGTTTTTATCCAAGGTAATGGAAAAATTAAACCATCTTTTAGTTCTAATAGTTTGAAAAAATCATATATGGTATAGTAGTTTGAAATGTTTCCCAACTCCTGTGAACTTTTCTCGTGGTGTGATGGGGGAGGGGACTGAGTTGTCTCCACTTGACCAGTGGAACACAGGTCCCATTTTCTGGCCCAGGCACCCTGAAATTCCCAGCTTCTACATCTTGTATCTTTGGATGCATGCTCTTAAAAGCCTGCCACCATACTGTGAAGAATGGCCCACTGCAGCCACGTGGCATGGGGCCCTGTGTCACGTGGCCTACGACGGAAGGAGGGAAGAAGAAAGGACAAGGAATGTCCTCCCTGGGTCTTTCCCCAGGAAGGGTCCTGGAAGCTGCAGTCCTCTTTGCTTGATATTGACCTTTCAGTTAGGCACCTAGCCAACTGCAGACTCGGAAATGTCTTTTTTCCTTCCGTGACCACGTGCTCAGCTGAAATTCTAGCTGTAGGGACCCAGGGGAGAGGACGCTGGCAGAACAGTGATGGGCTCAGATCCAGTTCTTTTGCAACTTTGTGGTTTTTTGCCTGCCTTGTCATCTCCATTTCAACTTTCTGTTTTAAATTTACTCAAGTCTTACCTGGGTTAGAAATCCTTCATAGACTGGGAACCTTGAATCATGATTTTTGTTTGTTTCTTCTGTCTAGAAATGTAACTTTTTCATATGAACATCTCATCTATTAATTTAGAGAAAAGAGGGAAATTTCAAGCAGAAGGAATCAAAATAAAAAGCTAGGACTGATCATTAGTAGTGACTTGCTATGTACCTGTGCATTGTAAAATGTTAAAATAAATGACCTAGGTAGTTTTCAGATCCTAAAGTAAGAATCTACCACTGTGCTTTGAAGGTAGTGCTAAACTGGCTTTTATCTTTGTGTTTCACTGCTTAGGATTTATGATAAGGGAAAGGATAAGACCAGACAGGGCAAAAATTGAGTTCTTAACTGTACTAAAATTCTCCATTACATTATCTTCCATTGGTTTTCTTCTTTATGTTGCATTAGTTATTCTTCAAATCCTATATTCATTAAGTTAATGCAGAACAATATTTTTAATAGGTAAGATTCATAACACCTGAACTCATTGATAATCCTGACATCACCAAAGGGAAACAGTAGAAAGTTCATTTCCCACTTGCGAAGTATTCTTGCCCACCCCCACCATGATCCAAATCAGTCTGTTACAGGCAGGAGTTCTAACTAGCAGTTTCTGTGGAATGGAAATACAAAGCTAGTGTAAAAGGACACCTGGGCTGCCTGTAGCCAAACCCAGAAATCAAGGAATGAGATAGGAAGATGACCTGGTCCTTACCTGAAAAAAGGGAAGAGAAGGAGCGTTATAGATTAAAAGAATCTTAAAATACCAAACCAACCAAACGCAATGTCTGCACTGTACTTGGATCCTAATTCAAATAAATTTAGCTGTATAAAGATTTATGACTTAATCAGTGAAATTTGAGTATTGGATATTAATTATATACAGAGTGTTAACGAGTGCTTAGTTTTTCAAAATGTGGTTGTGTTATAAAAAGAATGAAGGAATACATATAGAAATGTATATGGGTGTTTTTGTAGATGAAATGATAACTAATTTGGAATTTGCTTTAAAATTAAAAACAGCAAAACAAAATGAATGGGCCTGGGCCTGGTGGAGAAGGGGACATCGTAACACAGATAAGCCAAGAGCGACTCTTACTAATCTTGGCATATTGACGAAAGGGATTATGCTAGTTAATAATAACATTTTATAACATGTCATCTAAATTTTATTTGAAAATACTTTAACCCACTAATAGAAAAGGAGTCAATGTTTTGTTCTCAAAGCCTTTCTTACATAAAAGCATAATGTGAAAATGTAGGCTATCTGATGGCATTTTCTTCAGGGTTTGTTAAGAACATTTTAGCTTTACTTGCTTGCTGGAAGGTGATTTTGAAACAAAGGTGCCGTGGTTTATTAGCTGTGTAGTTGGCCCTTGTTATCTGTGGCAGCTATGTTCTATAAAGTGTCATGAACACTGAATTAGCTCATATTGAACCATTATTACTAAAGGAAATACAGGGTAGGTCTCTGCAAGCCTCTGGCCATCACATTTTCACACAGTATCTAACAATTTTAGGCAACTAGTTGTTCATAATCTCACCTTCTGTACGTTTCTGTTGAAGGGCACATTATTCAGTCTTTGTTATTACTTTATTAATGGTGAGCCCACAATTCAGGCCAAAGACCATGACACACCTACACAGAGCCGATCTTACAATGGGTTTTCTCTGTAAGGCCCTTCACAGCCTCTGCTCTCAAGCACAGTATTCAGGTGCCAGGTAAACAGTGAGGTCAGCCCCACTCCCTAACAAATGAAGAAAGAGAAAATGCACAAAAATGAAAAAAAAAAAAAAAAACCCAGAACACGAAATAGGCCTAAGAGGACACTGTTTTGAGGTAGGCACTAAAATGAAGCAGAGTGTCATCTTGTCCAACCTCAGTATAGTAACCATCTCAAAGCTTTCCCCTCTGTGCTTGTGTATTTGTAAATTACCATGAAGGTATTACAAATATTGATTCTGAGATTACAAAATGATTTTATCAAGTAGACAAACTTGCAAACATGGATTCCATGTGTAAGGAGGACTGACTTTATGCCAGTTTCTTTTTTTTTTTTTTAAGAGAGAGTGAGAGAGATAGAATTTTTAATATTTATTTTTAGTTTTCGGCGGACACAACATCTTTGTTGTATGTGGTGCTGAGGATCGAACCCAGGCCGCACACGTGCCAGGCGGGCGCGCTACCACTTGAGCCACATCCCCAGCCCACTTTATGCCAGTTTCTAAGAAATTATTTTCTCTTAATTTAGCTTGAAGCAACTCTGAATGTATATGTTTATTAAATTTTGCTGAAGAGTAGTTGTATATTTTACAAATGGATTGAAGTTATAATGTGAAAAGTTCAGATGTTTTATAAAAGTCTGAGATGGATTTGTTTAAGCATGTTTTGCATAAGACAGTAATATAAAACATATAAGGAATAGAACATTGTGAACTCACAAATTGATAGAGATGATCTATATCTGAGTAACATTTAAGAACAAGATAATTTGGCTTTTGTTCAAAATGCACAAGAGTGCTTTCTGTATCCATAGCATTTTTCTGGATCCGGAGACTCGAAGAGCCATGGGAGAACAAGCTGTAGCTCTTGCCAGAGCAGTGAAGTACTCCTCAGCTGGAACCGTGGAGTTCCTGGTGGACTCCAGGAAGAACTTCTACTTCCTAGAAATGAATACGAGACTGCAGGTAACACCTGGTCCTGTTCCTCTCACCACTCCCCACCCCACTTTTTTTTTTTTTTATTATTGTGGTACTTTCCCACTGAACTATGTCCCTAGCCCTTTTAATTTTTTTTTTTTTTAATTTTGAGATGGTCTCTTACTAAGTTGCTATGGGTCTTGCTGTGTTGCTGAGATTGGCCTTGAACTTGTGATCCTCAGTCTCCTGAGTCGCTGGGATTACAGGCATGTGTTGGTTGCCATGTCTGGCTTTTTTTTTTTTTTTAAATATATGTTAAAAATTAGTTTCATAAACTGTTAAATAAAGATTTTGATTTTATGCTTGTGCTGTCTACCAAGAAGGGACAGATAAGAATCCTGTGAACCTAACATCAGGGTTTAGGCTTCTGCTTTGTTACTGATAGTATTTGGTGAGTAGAAATTCCACTTTGATTTTTTTCTTGAACTTTTCAGCATGAGTCTGTGTGTCAGGGTTCGTATGCTGTTCAGGGGCACTATGCTAGGTATTGCAAATAGAAAGGGAGTAAGTGCTTCCAGAATCTTCGAAAGGAAGGGAACCTAGAGTAAACTTTCAGGAATGATAGTCACAGTGCCCAGCCAGGCCTGTCCCTGTTATGAGGATCAGAAACCAGTGGCCGCCCCTGCATCTGTGGACATCGTCCGTCAGTTCTAGCCAGGATCTCAGGAAGTTGCCAGTGCTATAATAGGTGGCTTTCCTGGCTTCCTCCTTCTTTTGTTGTTTTATTCAATTTTGAACTATACACACACAGAACATAATGCGACGTTGAGCAAAGCAAAACTCCGCGCGTGTTCCACCGTGTCTTCTGCAGCACTTCTTAGCCGTTTTCTTCTTTTTCTCAGTTATTCCCTTCCATCTTCTCTAGCGCCAGCTCCTCTTCTGACTGGATTCTCAGCACTTTCTCGTGTTTCCATATAATTCTTTCTTCGAATTTTGTATACCCAAGTAGCATGGTTAGTTCTTACTGTTTCTTTTCTTTACAGTTTGTATTAATGGGCTCAATCGTCTACATTGTTTTGGGCTTGACTCTGACACTGTGTGTTTGAGGTTCTTCCAGGGTGTTTCATGTGACTCCTCTATGGTACTCCTTTGAAGAAAATACCACTATTTATCTAACTATTCAGTTTCTATAGAGTTTTAGTTTGCTTCCAGTTTTATGGAGTTTGCATTTGTTTGCTAGGTTTACCATAACAAATGATGGTAAAGTGACTCACATAACAGGAATTTCACATTTCACATTCTTTGGAATTTCAGGAGGCTAAAGCCCGGCATCAGGGTGCCAGAAGAATTGGTTTCTTCCTTGGGGCCTTGAGAAGGACCTGACCCCTGCCTCTACCAGCTTCTAGTGGTGGCTGACACTCCTTGTCCTTCCTTGATTTGTGGCAGCACAGCACAGTTGTCTTCTGGACTTCTCCCTGAGCATCTCTGTGCCCAAAGTTCCCTCTTTCTGTATGGACTGTAGTCATATTGGATTTAGGAGTCACCCCATTCCTTGACCTTATCTTAACTTGATTATATTTGCTGAGACCTGTGTACAAATAGGTCCCACGCACAGATTCTTGATGGATGTGAATTTTGATGGGATTCTATTCAGTACATCATGCCACTCATAAAACACCTTTGTCCACAGAGGCTGGGATGGATGGCTGGGGTTGCAGGCTGCTGGCCAGTAGAATTGGGGGAAAACACACTTGTGCCTTTCCACACCTTACTGGGCCGGGGCTGGGAGGGCTGGCTGTGGTGCTCCCAGAGGAAGCGGAGTCTGCCTGGAGTCTTCTTTTGTTGAGGTGATGGTTCTTCAGAAGCCCCTGGGAGCCTGAGAGTCTTTCCCAGTTCCTCTGAGCCTGTCCTTCTCAAAAGGTGTCTGCAGACTCAGGCCCTTTCCCCAGAGGTGGACTATTTCTTGTGACTGTCCTCGTTGCCTGCTGGTGGTTTCAGGGAAGAGTGTTTGGGTTCTCTCCATGCCTTGTCTTCATCAG